TGTTTTTACACTTGATTTGGAATGTCCATAAAACCAATTCAAAGAGCTATTATGAATGATAAGATTGGAATTTGCAGTTCAAAAATAAAGAACACTTTGAATTGTGTATGTACAAAAATAAAGAACACTTGATTCATAATAATGACACTCTTTCTACTCAAGATGGCTACATCTCTGTTCGCAATCGTCGTCGTCTTCGTCATCTCCCATTTCGTCCCTTCCATCGTTTCCGATATCACTTTCACTGGCTGTCTCCCATTCAGAATCATCAGTCTCCCTGCCATAGACATCACCAGCAGCACCATCTTCACATTGGACATTGCCATGTTTAATGGCTGCCTCCCTGAATAACCAAGCTGCACGCATCTGCTTCTTAACGAGTCGCTCCGCGTAGTCAGGAACCTTGTTTTGCCTTAATGAAAGGTCGGGGTCATTGGACTGAGAGCATTCATTTATGAACAAAATGGCATCCAACAAGCTTTCTTTAGCCAACCCAAGCATATCATATGCCTGAGCTCTTCTCCAGAGACTTTTGGCATGACGGTTTATGGGGTTGTGAAGACAAAGAGCACGTGTGGCATCACTTATGGCAGCCATTGGCTGCTGCAACAGAAGATAACATTGAGCACGGTTACTGAAAAGAACGACTCGTTCCTTCTTCGATCTCATCGGACACAATGCTAGCGCTTCCGAGTACTTGAATGCAGCTGCAGATATATTTCCTGATGAAAACATGGAATTTCCTTCAAGCTTGATTACGAGCGCTGCAGCCTGTTTGATTCGGAGATCCTCTTTCGGCATGTTCTTTTCCCACTCGAGTCTCTGCCTCGAATTTAATAGCTCTTCTATCTGTTCCTTCGTACGACTGCTGATCGAATTGCGTCCAGCCCCTTGTGATTCGACGCATTCCTGAAGAATATCAATTATGGAATCCCCCAATCTCCGGTGATCGCCTAGAGATGATATCTCAGCAAGATCCAGAAGCGCAGGGGCAGCTTTGTCGATCACCTGGGAATACAATGTCACGGTTAAACACGCTCGTCTCGAAAAACTTTAACGATATATAATTGAAGATCTTTACATTTGAAAAGCAAACAGAGAAGAATATCAACCTTGTGACTTGTATTTGGATCCTGAAGCAACCACATGAGACAGTCAATAGCCATAGACTGCCAATCGTCTGAAGACCGGGCGATATTACATAACGCTTCGACAATACTGGGGCAGCTAGCGACAGGTCCTCTACCGAGTTTATGATGGCAGATTGTTCTCAATAAACCGATACCAGCAGGTGAATTTTCGTTAACGAGACCGCCCCACATGCCAGGAAGCTTTACTACAAATTCGGGCTTGCATATAGTCGAAAGAAACTCGGGTTTGAATGCAAAGCAATTGATAAGTTGTAAGGACCAACACTGTAACTGGCTAGCCCATTCCTCTGCCTTCCTTGATTCCATCTCGACCCCACCCATTCCACGAGTAAGCAGATCACAGTGATAACTAAGCCTTCTGTCCACATACTGATAGAAGTGAGTATAAACAATTTCAAGAGAACTCATTGCTAGCTGAATCGATAGCTCGAGTATTTCGACGTGACTAGCCACAGCAGGAAAAGTACTTGCATACGTAGCCAGATGTCCGAGGGCACGAACAGCTACCCTCTGCTCAACCCAAGTTAGCCTTCCCCTCAGAAGTTCAACTAATGGAGGAATCACCCCAGCATGAACAGCACTTTCAGCAAACTCCTCCATGTTCATCGTGTAGGATCCGATGATATGTGCAGCGTAATACGGAATGTAAATATTTTGATCGTGAGAAAGCCAGCGGCGATTCTTCAGTCCCTTCCATATAAGTGCAGCCATACATTCAAATATCCCCAATTCGATAAATTCGGGATCGTTCGGATGCGCCATTGCTGTGTTCCAAAGGCCACTAATGGGGAGAACTTGACCATCATCATCTTGAGAAGGAAGTTCTCTGAAGAATTTCAAGATACTAGCTCTGCGCTTACTAGGATTTCCTTCTTTCATGACACAAAAGAAACATCCTGGATAAGGACAGTCCGAAGATACTTTTTCCATAATCACGTCTAGTTAAGTCTCATTACTGAGCTGAATCAAATGAATTCACCAAAACTGCAAGTAAATTAAGAAGTTAGCAGAATATCAGACAGACAATCCATTTTCATGTCTTTTATGTTTTTGCAACAACCCGATTTTCCGCTTTACTCTTAGGTAGAATGCATCTTATCAAGCATCTACATGAACTTTCAACATTCATGTAAGGGCGTGGAAACTTCTCCCTAGCAGACTCGTTTTAAAACTTTAAAGGGAAGCCCGGAAGGGAAAGCCCAAAGAGAACAATATCTGTAAGTGGTGGGTTTGGGTGGTTACAAATGGTATTAGAGTCAGACACTAGACGATGTGCCAGCGAGGATGCTAAGTCCTAAGGGGGTGGTGGATTGTGAGATTCCACATCGGTTGGAGAAGAGAACGAAACATTCCTTATAAGGGTGTGGAAACCTCTCCCTAACAGACATGTTTTAAAACTTTGAGGGGAAGCTTGAAAGGGAAAGCCCAAAGAGGACAATATCTGTTAGCTGTGGGTTTGGGCTGTTACAGATGGTATTAGAGTCAGACACTAGGCAATGTGCCAGCGAAGACGTTGGGCCCCAAGGAGGTGGATTGTGAGATCTCACATGAGAGGGGAACAAAACATTCTTTACAAGAGTGTGGAAACCTATTTCTAGCAAACACGTTTTAAAACTTTGAGAGGAAGCCCGAAAGGGAAAACCCAAAGATAGGTGATGTGCCAGCGAGGATGCCAGGCCCCAAATGGGGTGGATTGTGAGATCCCACATCGATTGAAGAGGGGAACGAAACATTCATTATAAGGGTGTGGAAACCACTCCCTAACAAACATGTTTTAAAACTTTGAGAGTAAACTCAAAAAAGGGAAAGCCCAAAGAAGACAATATCTATTAGCGGTGGGTTTGGGCTGTTACAAATGGTATTAGAGTCAGACACTATGCGATGTGCCAGCGAGGACGTTGGGCTCCAAAAGGGATGGATGGATTGTGAGATCTCACATTGGTTGGAGAGGGGAACAAAACATTACTTAGAAGGGTGTAGAAACCTCTCCCTAGCGAACACGTTTTAAAACCTTATAGAACTATATCGAGACAACATCGATTTCTGCTATATTTGCACAAACTTGCTGATATGAATTCCAAAAAGTAAGCAACGCTGTAGCTGTCTAAGGCTATCCATGTAGAACTATATCGAGTTAAACTTCAAAAACACTGAGCATTCAAAAAGTAAAACTCAAATGGATTGACACGGAAATTAGAAATGTACATTCAATCAAAACCCCAACTTCTCAAAATGAGGCATCAAGATACGACACCATCATAAATCAGGCAGCTTTCCAGATCAATGAAGAATTGGGTCACGTTACTTTCCAACAACAAAAGAAAATTCATTGTACTAAAAAGAAGAGTGAAATTGACCCATAAATTGAGAAAATAAGTTACTCTTGTATTGAGTACACAGATCTGAAGGCGACAGCTATGAGCAACGTAAAAAATTAAAACCCATGACCGACTAGGATTCGAACATGCTGTGTCTTTTCCGGACTTTGAGGAAACATAATTAGAAAACAAATAAATAGGAGGTTCGACGGAGATACCTCGGAGCAGAAAAACAGACAAAAAGCTGCTTGTGGTAAGCTGGTAATCCGACAATCAGAGCTCTCTGCTACAAGAATAACTGTGGTTGGCTTAGGTATACAGGAAAATGTTTTTTGCTTTGATTCAGAGCTCTCTGCTACAGAAATGGGACGGAAGGAAAGAGATGGAAGACGGTGGTTGGTAATACGACGGCGTTTTAGCGTTTGGAATCCGACAATGAAGAAGATCTCGCGTTGTAGTAGCTAAGCGCTGTCGCTGCTAAAAGTTTTAATTTCCACAAACCACAACGAAAAAGGCCCACGCGCAGCAACGTGGAATGTGACGTACAGTTGTGATGTCACACGTGAGAGAGTGGTATGTTACGAGACAAACGCGAGAAAGAGCGCGTGAGAATAATGTTGCAAAAGGGTAATTTTGCAAAAATTAGATGGGCTATTATTACGGTTTTTCCATTTTGCTTTACCGTTTTCGAATCTGTGGGGAGCTGATATTACGTAAATACCCCTCTACTGTTCTAAAACTTCAATGTGAAAAAGAAGTAACGGAAGTACTTGGTGTCAGGGCAGTGCCTGGCTAGTCCATTATTTATAGCACTTATTTACAAAGTTTAGTATTTCACATTAATGAAAATAAATGAATTTTTGAATAATTTCTTCCACATAAATGACCAAATTTTTTACATTTTGAAGAGATTTTTAAATATAATTCAATTGAAATGGTGAAGGCACGTCGCTTTCATGCAATCTCAAAATGCACAGCAGAGTTTGGGTGAAGTTGGGGGACCATTCACTATACTGATTGACTTATACTGATGCCACCGTCTTACATTGTGCTCTCAAATATGTCATCGAGGAAGATGACCAGATTAAGTGGGGGAGAATGTTACAACTCAACAATGATTGTAACTTTCTCCCCCACTTAAACTAGTCATCGTCCTCGATGACTTACTTTAGGGTACAACCACACTTTGGATTGTGTCACACCTTGCTCTGTTTCCCTTTCATGCTCTGTTTCCCTTTCACCAGCACCAAGAGCAACAAAACCGAGCCATGCATGGACCCATTTGGGCCTACTCCCTTTATATGGGCCTTTAAATTGTTCACTCCTCCATTGGACCTTTAAATTTGACCCAATTCTTCATTCTTCTTATCATCATCTCTTTTTTCTTATATGAAGTATTGAATAATTCTTTGTTTTATTGCTTAATGTTTTTTTTTAATTCTTTCTAATATAATAATTTTTATATTAAATATTAATTTAAAATTAATGTTTTTTATAAATAAAAATAGATAGTATATATAAATTTAACATCTTATTAATTTTAATAAATTATTAAATAACCATTTTTAATTTTCCGTTTACAACACCACCAATGCTCCAATCAATGCAAATTCAAGAACTAAATTATAAAAAAAAAAAAAAAAGAGAAAAAAAAGATTATTATTGAAATTAATTAACTTTTCTTCCCCTCCGCTCCGTCTTCCTCCAAGTAAGCCTTCTTCCGCCTCTCCGCACCAGCGAACACGCTAATCACCAGAAAACACGTGGCGTAAATCCCATGAATTTTCCAGTTTGTTCTCGGCGGCTGGTGTAGAACCATCCTGTGGAACACCGCTACATAGTAATGCAGCCCGACAGCATACCCCACCATGGTCTGGGCCAGGCCCAATATCCTCGACCCGAGCCCACAATCGGTGGAGAACACCAGCACCAGGTACATCACGAGCAGCAGCAGATACAAGATGTATCCAAGGGTTTGCATCACCTGTAAACCCATGTACGTGGATTGCGAGGTGGAGTAGAAGAATTTGAGGGGCTCGAGGCCAGTGACCAGCGAGGACAAGCAGAGGATGCCGAAGTAGATTGAGAGGTAGACTTGGATGAATATGAGAAGCTTTTGGAGTGAGAAATAAGCCTTGATTCGATTGAATAAAAGACTCACCAGGATTAGAGGAATCAATATGAAGGCGAAGGAGGTTAAGGTAGCGATGGTGGAGGCGTACTTGTTGCCCACGATGGGTTTGAATCCCATTGTCATTTGTTTGTTGGCTTTGGTAATGTAAGCCTTGGAACTGGTGGAGATTCTCGCCAGGTCTGGGATCAAATTTTTATGAATTTTCATGGGTAGATCTCGGAATTGTGAAACGAAATCGTCCTCTTCATCTTCGTCGATCCAATTGGGTTTCTCCTGTGCTTGTTTCTTGGGCTTCTCCTGACTCTGTTTCTGAATTTTCTGGTCCTTGTTTGGTTTGTCCAAATGGGTTTGGGATTGTTTCGTTGTCGTTTTGTTCTTGGGTGTGCTTAATTTGAGTAGATCTGAGGATTTCTTGGCAGGGAATGAAGTGGTTTTTGTAGAATTAGTGGATTTCGAGGTGGAATTGAGCTTCTTAAGCCCAACTTTGGGAAGGATGCCGGCGGATGCCAATTTTGTGGAATTCGTAGCTTTACCAACAATGGTCTTGTTCTTCGTCGACAAACCATTCTTAATGAGCTTTGTCTGGTTTTTTAAGGATTTGGTGGATAAGCCATCGCTGGAGTTCTTCTTGTTCTTCGGCACCTCCTCTTCTTCCACCGACTCCAAAATCCTTCTTCCTCTTCGAACCAATTCTCCATTTCGAGATTCAGATTCGGCGCACACACACAACAGCGACGCCGCAGCAAAAAGGATCAAAACAAGAAAGAGCACAAATACCTTTGTGGGTCTGAAATTCACAGGTGGAGCCATTGCTGAACTCTGGGTCGAGATCTTGTTCAGCACTGAATATGAAGAGTGAGTGAAGTAGAAGGAATAGATGTTTTTTTTAAATAGGTCAGCGTCACATGCAATGGAGCGAAGAAAAGCAGGGGAAGCGCTTTTGGTCTACGCGTTTTCACTTGTCTCGTGGCTGGCTTGCTCCAACCTCTTTCCCTCGTCAATTATTTTGGAAGCCCCTTAGCATCTTTGTTCATCTCTTTTCACAAATTTATACCAATTATTTTGCACTATTGTTCTGTGATTCGTTGTTCTTTGAAAAGTGTAAAATATTCATTGGAATTTGTAGAGAGTGTTGAAGATAAGAGAGAATAATTTGGGGTTGACTCCTGGTTTGACTATGTGAATAAGGACGAAGATGTTAGGCGTTGGAATGGTGAGTGGCAGCCAGGTGTGGGGGTGAGTCGTAAGACCATTTTGTTGACAATTGATATGCATATTGCTGCCCTCTTAACCTCTTCTCTCCCACCAACCATTCTCTTCGCCTCGACGCGCTAAACACCGTTGCTTCGCACTCGAAAAGCTCTCGTTCGAGAGGAGAACGAGACATTCCTTGTAATGATGTAGAAATCTCTCTCTAGTGGACGCGTTTTAAAACTTTGAAGGAAACCCATAAGGGAAAGTCCACCAAGTGGTGTGCCATTGAGGACGTTGGGCCTCCAAGGGGATAGATTGTGAGATCCCACATCAGTTATAGAAGGAAACGAAACATTCCTTATAAGAGTGGGAAACATCTCCTTAATAAACGCGTCGAAAGAGAACAATATGGACTGGCGGTATGCTTGAGTTGTTACCGGCATTTGAATTTGAATGTGAAAGGGAGGAAAAAGAGGGGACTTCAAATGTGGATCATAAATATGATTAAAGGTGGGTTCCCTCTCCATGTGCACTTGTAAATGAAGACATTGCCTCATTTTGTTACCTGTTTTACTTTAAAATGAAAAAGATAGGGGAAAGCGATTTCAGATATGTTTAAGGTGGATTCGTGGCACCGAACTTCTTATCTTGTTCTAGAACTCTTATAATTTTACTTTTGGTTTCTCCAAAAGGTTTCGTATCATTGAAGATAGTATTTCTTGCTCATAAAATCTGCACCAAGTGCTGCTTCCAATCACGTTGATCTACATTTTTGAATCAGAAACTGTGAAGATGCTTTTCATCATTGTCATCATTGAAATCAAGACTGTCATCAATTCCATAGATTAGATCGATCTCTGTTTGATCCTCATCATCAACATCTTTCCCCACTGATATCTGAAACTCACTGTCTCGCTTATACAGAGGTGAACAGCATGCCTCCATATGCAGCATTTCAGACTCTATCAAGGCCTGCATTCTAGCTCGCTCTCGGTCTCTTGGATATGAACGATGCAGGAAAGAGTAGATGAAGCAGCACACCAACATCGGAATACCAATGGCTGTGTAGAGTGCTCTGGCCAGTGATTTTGCATTCTCTCTATCACTTTCAATCTGGGCAGAATCAGAGGATCCTCTTGCTACTGGTTTGTATCCATAAAGATGCTGTGCCAGAACTCCTACAACCGAAGGAGCGAACGATGACAGAACCGACTCAAATGATCGATCCATAGCGTAAATACTCGTGCGCGACTTCTCTGGGACTATCTCAGCAAATATTGGGCTGTATATTCCAATAATGATTCAAGGTAAAATTAAGAATTCATATCATATAGCAAGCCACTTCTAGTAAATATTGTCCTTTTTAGGCTTTCTCTTCACGACTTTCCCTCAAGGTTTTAAAACGCATCTACTAGAAAGAGGTTTTCACACCCTTGTAAAGAATGCTTCGTTCCCCTCTCCCATTGATGTGGGACCTCACAATCCACTTCCCTTGAGAGCCCAACATCCTCGTTGGCACACCGCCCAGTGTCTAGCTTTGATATCATTTGTAACAGCCCAATCCTACCGGTAGGAGATATTGTCCTCTTTGTACTTCCCCTCGAGGCTTTAAAGCATATCCACTAGGAAGAGGCTTTCACACCCTTATAAGGAATGTTTCGTTCTCCTCTTCAACCGATGTGAGATCTCACAATCCACCCTCTTGAGGCCCAACGTCCTCGTTGGCTGTGATGTCCCACATTGGTGGGAGGAGAACAAACCACCATTTATAAGGGTGTGAAAACCTTTCCCTACCAAACGCATTTTAAAGTCTTGAGGGGAAACCCGAAAGGGAAAGCTCAAAGAGGACAATATTTGCTAATGGTAGATCTGGGCCGTTACAAATGGTATCGGAGCCAGACAATGGACTATGTGCCAACGAGGAAGCTGTTCTCCGAAGGTGGGTAGACACGAGGCGGTGTGCCAGTAAAGATGCTGCGCCCTAAAGGGGGTGGATTTGGGGGGCGGTCCCACATCAATTGGAGGAAGGAAAGAGTGCCAGTGAGGACACTGGCCCCAAAGGGGGGTAGATTGTGATATCACACATTGGTTGGGGAGGAGGAGGAGAACAAACCACCGTTTATAAGAGTGTGGAAACCTTCCCTTAGCAAACGCGTTTTAAAGCTTTGAGGGGAAGCCCGAAAGGGAAAGCTCAAAGAGGACAATATCTGCTAGCGGTGGATATGGGCCGTTACATTGGCACACCGCTCGGTGTCTAGCTCTGATACCATTTTTAATAGCCCAAACCTACCGCTACTAGATATTATCCTCTTTGAGCTTTCCTTCAAGGTTTTAAAACGCACCTACTAGGGAGAGATTTCCACACCTTTATATGGAATGCTTCATTTCTCTCTCCAATCGATGTGGGATCTCACAAGAACGGTAAGTACATTAGATTATAGGTGATGAAGACACATACTTGTTAGTTGCTGGTCCATTCCACGACATGCTAAACCCCATTATGAACAAAACCAGTCCATGCAAGAATCCAGTGGATGGATCATCTGGCAAAGCCAGGAGCAAAATTGCAGCAAGAGGAATGGCAGAACCTGAGCTTATCTGAGATAGAACAATTCTTCCTGAATTAGGAAAGCGCTTTGACAGAATATCCCCCATTCTTCCTCCAAAAAGGCCACCCAATGAGCCAGCAATTATAAAAAGAGCCCATAGAAACCCTGTTTTCTCATGAGAAAACCCCACAAGTTCAAGCCACATAGGAGCAAATGACAAAGCCGACCAAGGAAATGAACCAGCAACACCCTGAGCAACAATTATCTGAAAAGATTGGATCCCTAAAACTGACTTTGATTCTTTAACAAGATCCTTCAATTCTGACCACAATGGCTTCCTTGATTGATCCTTAACTCTTCCATCAATCACAGAATAGCGTGGATCATTTGCAAAAACCCATACTAGTACACCAAGAATGACACTCATCAGTCCAACAAGATGGAAGGCAATTCTCCATCCTGGGATCCCTAAGAAAGACGTGGAGGCTAATAATACAGAACAAAGCCCACCAATAATGGAACCAAGATTTCCCGTTAGTTGTAGCCATCCAAAAGCTAAGCCACGGTTACTATCATCAGTGGAGTCAGCCACTAGGGACTGGATGGCTGGTATCACTATGGCAAGACCAATACCATTTAAACCTCTGGAAATTGCAACCTAATTATGATTATCAAATTATTCTAGGAATATAAGATCATCTATCACCAGTAATGAAAATCACAGATATATATGACTTCGATTGGAGATGAATCGAGAAAGACGAACCTGTAAGAATGTGGAGGAAAGGGCAACGAGGAAAGTGGCAGCGGCCCAGAGAAAAGCACCAAGAACGATGATATGGGCACGGTTGTGATGCACAGCTAAGTAAGCAGCTAAAGGGTAACAAGAGGACTGCACAATAGATCTGAAGAGGGTTAGGGAACCCAACCCAGTGGGATCGGTGTGCAGAACCGCCCCAACTTCTTTATAGACTCCAGGCAACAAGGACTCGTCGGCCTTCTCCATAACAGCGGCCAAATTGATCAACATTAAAGTCAGTGCTTCAGATTTCATCTTGGAAACGCTAATTCACAGAGGATTTTCTAGAAATGGGCACCGCAGGGGTTGGGGAGCGGCGGCGGAGAAGGAGGTGAACTGAGTTTGATAGAGAAACTGCGAGTGCTTGCCACGTGACTTGAATGGGAAGGATGAAATGAAGAAGATGACAATGGTGAAGATCGAAGGAGGTGAAGGTTTGGGCGATGTTTCTTGTCGATCTGCTTTTGGAACTTTTGGACACATTTCCAAAATTCTTGGAGTAATAGGGTGTTTAATGTTTATAAAACTGGACTGGGCCGAAAGCCCAAATGAAAGTCGACAACATGGGCCATCCATAAGATTGAGAGGCCCAACTGTATGTTAAAGGCTGGATTTAGCGAACTGAACTCTCATGATTGAATTTGCAGATCCACGTGGGGGACCATTTCTGAGAACGGCAACATGTGATTGTATCTCTCGGCTTTTTTCTGAAGCCTTACGTGGATTTCCTGCTCGAAGTGGGCCCCAACCCCACGAAACCATGACGTCAAGGTGAGATGGACCACCATCATGCTCAAAACGACGTCGGATCCGGTGTGTCCTGTCGGCATGGAATTGGTGGAACAATATTTACTTGCACATGGGGAAGAAAAATGATTTCCAAATTAAATTAAAATTTAAAAAAAAAAATGGAGAATGAGTCACCGAAAGCAGTCATTTCCATAGCATCCAATCACAATCAGATCCTACTCCTTAAAATATTCGAATCTTTACTTCTGTAGCTTCCCCCTCCCTTTTCACCTCCTAAACACCTTAATTTCTCTGTCCAATCATAATTCCCGTTTAAATTTAAATTCAACATTCAGCGGCACATACCCATATGAGTTGGAGAGAAAAACTAAGTATTTCTTATAAATATGTGAACATCTCTCTTTAATAAACACGTTAAGAGTGTGGTCTCCACTCATTAGCGTGCATGGATTAGACAAATTTGTTCCTCCCAATCAAAAGCGTCGGCAAATTTGAAGCTCAAATTCATAGGGTGAACAACATTTATGATTGTGTTAAACAACAACGACAACGACAGTCCAATCAAAGAAATTAAATTAAAAAAATAACCCATTTCCTGCACACACACACACACACACCATCTTCGAAATTGGTGCTCCTGCATCACGAATTCCCATGTCTACGATCCCAATGCCACTTTTCATATAAATAATTGCATGCACGACCAATATATATATACATATATAGATTGTTTACTGAATTTTATATCACATCACCGGCGTATCTAAACATGATTTTAAAAAGTGGTAATGAAGTTTGTTAATTGTTTCAGGCTTAGACAGCCAAAAGGCAGTGCTTTTTGTCATAAAAGTAAAAAAAAATAGAGGAAACCTAATTATGTTGCATGAATTTATGTACTTTGAATAGTCATTAATTAGGGGAGGGGGGGAAACATGAATGCAACATCCAAAATTAAAATCCACCGGGGGGGGTTTAAAGATCCCTGACAGATCATGGCGGCTTCACATTCCTCAAATCTCGCCTCCAATCTCTCCTAAATTATGGAACACTGAGTCAGTGAGACAGAGATGCAAGCAAGAAGACAAGGATGAGAGCCCATGCCGCTTCCCTCCCTACTGCACACTACGACTAAACCATTACTCACAGTAGTAGGTGCATGCAATTTCCACATTGTGGACATCGTACGAGGATCGTTTTGGATATATCAACTTTACCCAAACTCAGTTACGAGTCACGGCTCTCCACAATAGCATTCCTCGCTTATAAATTCATAATTAATGTCTCTCCCATTTTTTAGGAATCTAGTGACAGGAAAAAGTAATAAACAAAACGAAATCCCAAAATGGAAATGAAATGTTTTTATGTACATAGGATGAGTGTTTATGTTAATTAGAGCACTAAGCAGCTTAGTATGGTTGTGTTTGTTGTATATAAAACAACAATTAATTAATCTGAAGAACAAATCCAAGGCTCGACCATACCTTCACTCCTCCCAACTAGATCTTGATCGGACGGTCTACCTCCTCCACCTCCGTCGAGGGTGCCACTGCCCCAATTTGCCGGAACATTATTCCCACCGCCGTCTCTAACGATCCCAGAAAGGAAGTCATCCGGGAGAGGCAGATGCAGCGGATTAGGATGGAGGTGGGAGCGGAGGAGGTTAAGGTTGGGTTGTTGGAGTGGTGGAGGTGGGGGCGGGAGATTGAAAATGGAGGAGGGAGAAAAAAGGGAATTAGTTGAAGGAAAGGGGGATAGCTTTTGGGGATATGGACGGAGTAGGTACGGTGGGGAGGAAGTGGAGGCGCCGGCAAAAAGATCAAGCCGGGGTCTAGGGAAAGAGGAGGAGGAGGGCGGCTGGAAGGGTGGTGCAGGAATCCCAGTGAATTCCTGGACCATGGCTCGGAAATTGGTGGTATCGGTGGTCAGGACAGTGGTCGGAGCTCGCCTCGAGGCTCGGGTTCGCTTCCTCGGGTTACGAACGGTGGCAGTATTGTTATTGTTGTTGGTGTGAACGACTTGGGTTGGGGGTTGCAATTGAGTATCGGGCGTGGTGGTCATGGACGCTGGATATTGGATCGGGTTGGGGTCGGATCTCGGGTTAGTGGGCCAAGAAGGGTGGAGATTGAGAAGGGAATTTGGGGGTGATCGGGAAGGTGGAGGATCGAGGAAGGTGGAGAAAGGGTCGAAGGAGGAGGAGGAATGTAGGGATGGTGGTGGTGATGGGTTAGGCTTAGGGATGGGGCCGACATGCAGTGACGGATAGTTTAAGAAACCCTCCGCGCGTGAATCATACTCATCTTCGGCACCGCTTGAGCTTTGTACACTCCCACTACTCCCAGAATCCATGATTAAACACACAAATATATATATATATATATATATATATATATATATATATATATCACGGGTGCAGAAAATGATGTGCTGCTGCTGCGGCGTCGGCGGCGGCCGGTTCTTGTGGTGTACTCACAATCTGAAAAGCCACCGGAAGGCAGGATCCAACAACCCACGAGATGGTTGGTGGCGGAGGTGGACCGGTGAAGTGGAAGCTCCACTCCTGAACCTCAAAAGTTCGTATGGGGTTAGGGTTTTTGGAGAAAGAAGAAGATGGGGGAATTGGGAGAGAGAAAGAGTGCGTTTAATTTTAATTGGGAGAGAGAGAGAGAGAGGTTTGTTGTGAAAAAGAGAGGTTGCTTGTGTTTGTAGATTTGCTCCACGAAATACGATGAAAGTGGGGACTCAAGATGCTACAATCCCAGAGTCAAAGTAAATGCCTCTGTTTTTTCACCGGCCCTAGCCAACAATTGTTCGTTAATTATTAACCCGAACTACGGTTAATTAATTAAGAGGACGATTATTGATTTATAAATTTATAAGTAATAATAACGAGAATTTTCGAGAAAATAAGAAATAAAATAAAGTGAATAATTTGGAAAAAGGTTGGTTGAGTATTGCAAAAAGTCAAGAAAATCACTGCCACGTCATGCTTTTGCGGACCTATCCCAACTCCAATTTTGTACTTTCACATTATTTTGATAATATTATTATTAATTTCATGATGTGAGTCATTAAGTTTCTATTTCTTTGATCCTTATTCTACCCGACAAGTCGTATTTTTACCTGGTGAAAAAAGAGATAAAAAGAAAAAATTAAGGTGGTGGACGGACCACCACTGATTCTTTGGCGTCTATCATCTCATCGGTTGAATTAATAAGGTTGAGTTGACGTGTCAGGACAGGGAGGAGGGAGATGCAGTTGGAGTCTTTCATCTTCAATTGGGTCAAACTTGGATTGGATTGGATTAGGTTGCTTTACCCCATTTTCTTTTTACAGTACACTTATAATTTTCACCCTTTCTTTTTCAGACATTTACATTGGCGGTAAAATATTAATTTCAGTTTTTTTTTTTTCTTTTAATTATTTTGTTTAATAAATTAATGATTAAATTTAGAATAATATACCTACTCAATTTTAATTTGGTTGGTCCACTTACCCTAAGAAAAGAAAGTAGAATGGAATTCAGCTCTTTATTTACGAGTCAAAATCAAAGTCTTTTATTTACGAGTCAACATCAAAGTCGATGGTGCGAGAGACCTTAAGTAAATTAAAAAAATATTCAAACGAACTGACAATTGTGTCCCAAAAAAAGGACTCTCCTTTTGATAACTTGGTGAATTTTAAAAGACGTTAAATGAATTAATAACCAATTAAAGTGTAAAATAAAACACAAAAAGAAGTCCAGACCATGTAAAAACCCCTTAGCCCACTAGCCCATTAGCTCATTAGCTCATTAGCCCATCAACGATCCACCTCTCATTCAGCCCAAATCACAACCTTCCATGAAAATGGAGGATAATTCGAGTTTAATGAGAGTTAGGAGAAGAACTTTGGAGCCAGAGAGGGATTTTTTAAGGCTCAAGATCGTGAAAACAGCATCGATAATAGATTGTTGTCTATGTTCGTCTTAATTTTATCATCTAAACTCTGGTCTATTCGATTAATGCACGATGTTATTATCTATAGATTGAATGTTATTGTTCTAGATCTTAAGCAAAGACTATGAATCCATAGATTTTTTTTCCCATTATGTTGCCGACACCAAGTTTTAAATTGGGTACCGAAATAAAATGGGGTATTATGATTATTTGTCCTTTGGGCATTGCAAAGGCATTCATGATTCGTGACCCACACCGTACCAAACCCACAATAATGGATCGAATCATAAAGTAAAGCTAAAAAGTAAGGCACTGCTCTCGATCCAACTTTTACACACCAACACCAGAAGGGCACACTCTCCCGCTTCCTTATTCGACAATACGATTAAATCTCATATGACCTGCTTCAACCTCGGGGGACCCGATCGGGTTGGATCACGGCGGCTTCCAATCGATTCCTTGGGGCAGTTATCACGGATGGCGGTCAACACATACGGCGATGTATCGAGGGCTAACCACTGCTCCACCGTGAACTGGGCTTGATCGCAGAGCCTGTGGACACCCGTTGTGGTCACCTCAAAGTAGTTGCAGTACCAGCCATGGTGCGGACCGGATCCGTCGGAGGTCAGATTCAAGGAACACACGGGTGCGCTCAGGCATGGTCCTCTTCCGCTGAAAATGTCGAGATTGCCCCTCTCGAAGTAGTTGTAATCAGGTCCCATTAAGCCGCCCCATTTCTCCAGATCTCTGATGAGGATTCCGTCGCCATTGGCGGTGTAGAGCGTCGCGCTAATCACCGAATCCGTCCCTGCTTTGAGGATGGAGCCGGTCCTGACATACACCGTGTAGACGCAATCTGGATCCTGCATCAATCAAATCGGAAATGTTGGTCAGTCATTTTAGGTTCTAATCGCTAAAATGGAGGAGAAAATTGAGAGCGAAAATACATCGTAGAGAGCGACGACGGAGAGGGAAAGGAGAAGGGAGAGGGAGAGGAAGAGGGGAGATTTGGAGGCCATGGTTAATGGGTGAGTTGTTTTCTTCTTCAATCATTATTTTATATACAAAATTTAATAGCTAAAACCACGCCAGCTCAGGGCTGATTGGAAATCTGTTTGATCGGACGGCTATAATCACTTTTACATGGTCAAACCTTTCTCCAATCATCGTTTTCCACCTGTACTCTAATAGCTAACAAAATCATTCTCTCTATTGTTTATTATTATTTACAGAAAATAAATAAATGATAATAATGATAAATACAAACTTCTAAATCTGAAGATAAATAAATGGGAAAAAAAAGGCATCACAATACAAAATTGGAACGAGGCACCGAATATTCCAAAGGTCACGTGATGCACGTGTCTTTTGGAAGAAAATAAATAAAATTTTTGGAAGGGGTAGAGTTCGGGTCGACGTTGAGCTTCTTTGTTTTTTATTTTGTTTTAAATGGCGGGAAGAGTCGAACGATTCTTGTGTCACAGTCGTATATCTTTAACCATGTGGCGTCGTGATTTTGACACGCTCACGACAAACCAAAAAGGAGAACTCCAGCCTCATTCACATTTTTTGCTCGATTTTCTGGTTTCTTCAATTCTTCAGTGAGGTTTACTATCACCAACCAAACATAGCTCGTTCAAAATCCAAGCTTGTTTGGTCAAACATGTCGTTCGTACGTGCATGTTCAATCAGCCATCTTGACTTGCTCGGACGCATCAATTGAGAAAATACTCATGTATCGATCATCTCATTCAGACATCCCGAATATTCATTTATCTGGGTTCTATTGAGCATTGGATACTCTAATCCAACCTTCAACACATGAATTAGAGCCCAACACAGGCGCACCTAATCCAGTAGCCTAGTAGCGACAAACCATCACGCCCTATTTGAGGGTAGATAAGGTTATGACGTGGACGCTTTTGATTGGATATAAATGGCATATAGATTTCCTTATCCTTAATTGAAACGCGAAAATAAACGTGGTTGGACCTCACAGTGCCACGTCATAATCTATTTATTTTACATGAGAGAATAATTTCAATTATTTTTTGAAAAATAAACTCAAAATTTATTTTCTTATACTCGAGATAATCCAAATTGGAAATCAGCACGTGACTATATTCAACCGATGACGTGGCAACAACTTATGCCACTTTTGAATTTCTATATATAGTGAAGCATGTGAAAAAAAGTATGGCAAGGCAGAAAAATGGCGTCCAAATCTGCACTCCCGTTTCTTATCCTCTCGCACCTCCTCCTCCTCCTCCTACTCTCCACCGCCGCCGTGCCGGAGCCTCTAGATGTAAGAACACCACCATCCTCCACCCTCTCAAAAGCATTGAATAAAATGAACTAACCATGTGTTAATTTGAAATGGTGCAGGGCGGGGAGTGCGGTTACTTGATCTATGTCCAAACAGGGACGGTGAAGAAGGCCGGCACTCACTCAACCATCGGCCTGGAGGTGAAGACGGCGTCTGGGGAGGGGATTTGGGTGCCTAATTTGGAGGAATGGGGTGGAATTATGGGTCCAGATTATAACTTCTTTGAGACCGGGAGATTGGATACCTTCACTGGCAGAGGGCCTTGCCTCACCTCCCCTATTTGCTCTCTCAATTTGACCTCCAATGGCTCCGGTCCTTACCACGCTTGGTACTGTGACTACGTCGAGGTCACGGCCTCTGCCCCAGGCCATCCTTGCCACAAGCAGCGCTTCTCAGTGAACCAGTGGCTTGCCACTGACCAGGAGCCCTACAGCCTCACCGCTGTTGTGGACTATTGTGGGGCTCGGCCATCCCCCAGTGTGTATGACTTGGTTTTCTAAATCTCTACTCTTCTCATTAGAGTACACAAATAAATAAATATCGACGTCCGCGGGTTGATTAACATGTATGGTTCCTTCAAACTCTCGTGATTTAATCTAAAAATTTTGTTAAAACAACAATATCTTTAAATTTAAATCATCTAAACAACCTAATAAAAAGTTTTGGAATGAATTATCTTGTTCATAAAAAAAAAAAAAAAAAAAAAAAAC